TTAAAATGGTAAAGTTTTGGCCATTTCAAAACGATTTTTTGGTCCTTGTTGGTGACTACTGAATTGATGGCGTTATTCCTTAAGATGGATTAGAACCTAGAGTTGTGGTCAATGTCGCCTACCACTAATGAATGTAGAGGGTGAGACTATCAAATATAAATCATTGTTCTATATTCTGAAAGAAAGAGTGAGAGAATGTTCTTTTTCACCAAATAAACCATGAAAAAATTAAACCAAGTTCTTATGGCTAATAAAAAGTTGAGAGAAACTTATTTTACCTATCTTCCCCTCCCTTGAACCCCATATTTTATGTTCATGATTTTTGCAGGCTTTTCTAAATAAAGGGTTTTAGTGCCTAGAGATTGAATGGTACAAATTCAAATTTAGGTGTCAAATAAGCTGATCAAACTTGCAATCAACTTGCTCTTTTCAAGGCTTTGCTAGTGTTGCTTATGCCACAGATTACTAGACAGACTTGTAGCACAACTTTGTTTTTATATACGCCTTGGGGTCCAAATGTTGAGGGAATAACCAAACAAACGCCCACAGATTACTTAGTGAGCGTTTGCTTGGTTATTGTTGTTATCAATACAATTTATATGAGTGGTGGAGAGCCTCACTAGGGTTGAGATCACTAAATTGCAAAGACAATTCTCCGTAAAAAGGGCAGCCCAAGGCACAAGTCTCCTACCACTGTGGAGTCTAAGATAGGCAATCCAACATCTACACCCTTTTTATTAACAAGGATCAACAACATGATTGTTGTAGCCAACAAAATTTACTTCTGTCTTGTCAGTCTTCTTTAATTTCCATCAACATAATAACCTTTTCAACAATGCTAATGGTTTGTTTGCTTCATTTCATAATGCAGTCAGAAGTGAATTTTTTAGGAAGGCTTTCACATCCTAACTTAGTCAAGCTGTTGGGATACTGTTGGGAGGACAAAGAACTACTACTTGTGTACGAATTTTTGCAGAAGGGAAGCTTGGAAAACCATCTGTTCAGAAGTAAGAAGGGAGGAAAATTTGTGGAGAAAAATTAATTGTTGTTCAGTTGCAAAGTACATTGATTTCTGGGTTGATTGGTTCTTGTAGGGAATCGCGCCATTGATCCACTTTCATGGGATACACGACTCAAAATAGCTATAGGTGCAGCACGGGGGCTTGCTTTCTTGCACACTTCGGAGAAGGAAATTATTTACAGAGATTTTAAGGCCTCTAATATACTCCTAGATGAGGTGAGATTTTATATATGTCTCATTATATATAGGACAAAGTTTGTTTTTTTCCATTTGAACTTAAGAAGCATTAAGAAGTTAGAGTTAGAAGCAGCAACAATTGATTATAAGTAAGAAGAAGATAATGGATAAAAGCAACTTGAAATACATTTATGATCCCCAGGTTGATTGCTAGGTAGCAAAGAAAAGAAAACTTGGGATTGTACAGCTGGTTAGGTTAGGGTATCAATTAGTCTTACCACGTTTTTTTCTGTGGTTGGTCGCTATGCAGTATAAAGAATCAACAGAAATATGTTATAGTCATATGAAATTAATTCTAGAAACTTATTTCTAAGTGACTAACAAATTAATTCTAGAAAATTGGTAGTCAAGATTCTAGAATTCTCAAAAACTAAGGGAAGTGACCATGAACACTTGTCATAGCAAACTTGTTACACAAATAACTGCACAACATGATATACCATCATCTCAGTCACAGAGAAATATCTTGTCTAATTGTATTGACAATTCTCCCACTCTTTACTGAACAAATATGGCTGGTTAAATTAGTATGGATTTGCATATATACACGCAAGATTCTGATTGTTAGGGATTTCTCTTTTCTATTTTTTCGTGTTTTTTTGTTGCAGAATTACAATCCAAAAATATCAGACTTCGGCTTAGCAAAATTGGGTCCCTCAGGTGGAAACTCTCATGTGACAACCCGAATTATGGGCACATATGGTTATGCTGCTCCTGAATATGTTGCAACAGGTGAGCTTGCACCCTTAGCTATCTAGTGCAGGAGATGCAGGAATTCAGCTTTTCATTTTTGTGATTGGGTGGGTACCTTAAAAAATGGAAATAAAGCAAAGAAAATGAAGGTTATGAGATGAGTTTTGAAATAGACGGAACAAATAAAGCATCCAAATAGGCTATTCAACTTCAGTGTATAACAATGGCAGTCATTCTTAAAAACTTCCCTTCCCCTCCCCTGCTCTCACACCTTTCATATAGTCGATGAAGTGCAACAGATCACATCTCTATCCATTTTCAACAGGTCATCTTTATGTGAAGAGCGACGTGTATGGCTTCGGTGTTGTGCTACTTGAGATGTTATCAGGTTTACGGGCACTTGATACCAGACGCCCCAGTGGCCAACATAATTTGATTGATTGGGCAAGACCTCTTCTCTCTCACAGAAGGAAGTGGAAGACCATTATGGATGCGCAAATTGAAGGCCAATATTCTTCTAAGGCAGCTTTACAGGCCGCTAACCTTTCCCTAAGATGCCTCGAACATGACCCTAGAAAGCGCCCCTCCATGAAAGAAGTTGTGGAGGTGTTGGAACAGATCGAAGCCATGAAGAAGAAGCCATAAGAATCCCAATGTGGTTCATTGCATTCTACAGCTCATTGCCATCAACCTAGTCATCATCATTCCTCGCTACACCCAAGCTACCGTGGCATTAGAGTCGGTGCTCAAAGAAAATAGCACGCATGAATAAGGTAAAATTATAAATATTGGTTTCGATGTGATTGTTCTCACAAACATTGTGTACCTAATTCTAGTGATTGATTGCTATTGTTATTTTTAACAATGATTTTTATTTTTCTCTCATTTCACCAATACTGTATTGGCACTTGCCTTTTGTATTTACATGGGATGATTGTGTTGTAAACCCGTAACTATTATTTTTGCACAAAGAAAGGAAATGCTAGCTGACACTTTTGACTAGTTTTCGGTGAATTGGATTGCAATACCTGTTGGAAAATTTAGTTATCTTGTGCTTGTTAAAATTATTCTCTTCCACCAGGAGAACTTGGATATCAAACATTTAATGATAACCGTAGGATTTGATATAAAGGTGGGAGCTAACTCTTTATGTTGCAATATTGGGATTGTTTATCTTCATATATGTTCCTATCTGCCCCCTTTGAAGTATTGTGATGAACCACTATCTGTAGACTGTCTCCCAAACTTTTGCTCTTGTGTTAAAGGATTACTTCTTTTACATGGTTATAGCCTATTTGGTATTTCTTGGTATTTTGTCATTCCCATCGTTCAATCAACCCCCCCCCCCTCTCTCTCTCTCTCTCTCTCTCTCTCTCTCTCTCTCATACACGCACAACCACTCATGGGTGTATAAGCACACTGCACACACACACACGCACATCCAAGCACATCTTTCAACACCGTCAAAATACATATAATGAGGTCACCAAGAGTATAGTCTATGTATCTGTGGAGCTGTTTATTTACTTGGCATTGCAGTGTTATACACAGTCAAGTCTATGCATGAAAAGCCTATACAATAAAAGGAGGCCCTATTTCATTAATCAACCTAATAAGCTCTGTTCTTGCTTGAGTTTGAATGGGTTATTCCCCAATTCCTGAATTGAGTGCACCTTTGTAATGTTCACAGCAGATCAATGCTTCTGTTACAAACTTTCAATAAAGGTCTAGTCATTATTATTTGACTAACATAAGGGCAGTTTGAAGATGTCATTGTTTCTTCCCATATTTTTATTTAATCCCTCTATATTCTGTTTGAGCCATTCAATTTTTTCAGTTTTCAACAGAGAAAATGTAGAGAGTGTGAACTCATGTACACGGCAAACTAATCATCACATTGCCGCATTTAATGAAAAGAAGTTTGAAGTCGGAACCAATCCATTCAAGCTTGACTCGGGATTGCCCTAATTGAACATCCAACTAAAATCAACTTGTAGGATAAACGAGTTTGGCTGGACAACATTTTTAATACTGTTAATGTTGATAAGTAGAGATCAAACTCCACTCAATCAAACAATTAGCATCCAAAGACTATACAAAAAATCACATAACTTGACATCAAATTAGAATTAGTTGGGTAAAAGCTCGTTTGAGGGCAGTTTCTTTAAGAGTAATACTAGATGGATTTAAAAATTAGACTTAAAACTTAGACCTGATAATCTCAACCATTGAATAGGTAGTGGGTCCCAAAAAATGCTGGGACCCACAGTGAAATCAATGATTGAGATTATCAAGTCTAGTTTTTAAGTCTATGTAATATTGCTCTTTCTTTAATAACCAATTAAAACTTGAATTTAATTTGAGAACTTGTTTAAATATCAAATCAAATTTGATCAACATATTATCCATACAGAGTTCAGCTCATTTACATCCCTCGAAGCCATTGGTTGCATGTTCTGTTTATCAACAGTGGACACGTGTAGTTATTGCAATAGGCCAATTTCTAAGCGTCGTAACTTACAAAGACTTGAAAGAAGGAAAAAAAGAGACATAAGCTATGAAACATGATTCTTCATGATTTACCTGAATTAGAGAACCATCGAGAAAAAAAAAAAAAAAGAAGAAAAACACATTGAAGGCAACTATGAAACAACATCTATATTTTTAGACGAACAATGATATATGAATTTAAAAAATGTACTTGATAATCACAATAATTAATTTTACTATGAATTTTTATATTTATTAAGACCTGCTACTTGATAAATAACTGTAATTATCAAACATATTTTTTAAATTTATTTTTAAATTCAAATAACATTTTTTGCCATTTTCTACTTTTAAAATCCGGTCCGATTGTAAATTTTTTTTCATCCGCTGTGTCCGTGTAGACGACTTTACTTTATAAATAGGACAATTTGTTGGATAAAAAAAAGTATTTTGCGGTCCTATATGACACCAAAGTGGAATTAAACTTTGGAGTTGACTCGGTCCACTCGATTTGGGGCACCCAATTTCTAGTAGATAATCAGACACTTCTTCTTTCCATTCTTTCTCTCTCTCTCTCTATCTCTCCTCTTATTTTATGGCCTCTGAAGCAGAGAGATTTTGAAACCATTCATGGAAAAGTAGTAACAGAAAAAGAGATTGGTAATGGGGAATTGCTTTGTGTCTAAGATGGGTAATTCTAACCCAAGCATCAGTGATCGCAGCATCACCACTGGACCTTCCACTGCAGGTATTGCTTTTTAATCCAAATATTTCTACAGAAATACTCATTTCCTTGTCTGAGTCTTCATTCTTTTCATGTATTTCCTTGTTTCTATCTGATAATAGCTCGAAATCAAAACTCCTTTATCCATTATTTGGCCATGTTAATTAATTCCCCATCATATGTTTGTTTTCTATTTTTGTGAAATCGTGATTTGGGTTCTCTTTATTTTCTTAATTTGTAACCCCTCTTCTGTTGTATATTTTCCAATACCATTAAAATATAGCGTTAGCTCTTGTTTTATTTACTTAAAACGGTATAAACCCGTTTCCAGTATTGGTGTTTTTTTGCAAACTTGAGTGCTAAATCTAGACAACTTTGTTATATATAGCAGGGACGTCGAACAATTATAACAATGGTGGGGGATATTCGGCGACAAGCAGCAGCGAGGGGACATGTTGTGATGGGGAAATATGGCCCACACCGACCTTGAAGATCTATAGCTTTGCAGATTTGAAGAAGTCCACAGCAAATTTCAAGTCTGATTCAGTGTTGGGAAGAGGGGTTTTTGGGACAGTGTACAGGGGATGGGTTGATAAGAAGACGCTTATGCCTTGTCAATTTGGCACTGGAATGATTGTTGCTATCAAGAAATTTGACTTGGAAAGTATGCAAACGTATACAGAATGGGAGGTAATTTCAACTTTGTTGTTTGCTTTCATGTGACAAAATTGGTTAGGATTCATGGTTGATATTCATTTCCAGTAGTGTTGGAATAAAAAGCAACCTTTAGGCTTCACTTAACTGCAACATGTATGAGATAACGAAATTTTTTTGGTTATCTAAAAGAAGGAAACGTTCGTGATATTTTTTTTATTAAAACATCAGTCAAAACTAAACACCTTGAAACATAAAAATTTTAATATTTAATTATTAATTGTCTTAATGGTTTCCGTTAAAACAGTAAATTTTTGGTAGTTTCAAAACAAATTTTTGATCCTTGTCTGTGACAACTGAAAAGATGGTCTTATTCCCTAAGATGGATTAGAACCTAGAGCTATGGTCAATGTCGCCTGCCGCTAATGAATGGAGAGGGTGAGACTATCAAAAAGAAATCATGGTTCTATTTTCTGAAAGAAAGCAGTGGGAGAGAGAGAATGTTTCTTTTCACCAAAATACCCATGCTAAAAAAATTGAACCAAGTTCTATTGTACCTATCTTCCCCTCCCTTGAACCACAAATTTTATCTTTATGATTTTTGCAAGTCTTTCTAAATAAAAGGTTTTATTGCCTAGAGATTGAATGGTACAATATATATGAGCATACCTTTGTAATGGTGGAGAGCCTCACTATGGTTGACATCACTATATTGCAAAAGCAATTCTACATAAAAAAGGCGGTGCACGAATCTCCTACCATTGTGGAGTCTAAGAAACGTAATCCAACATCTACACCCTTTTTATTAACTAGAATCAACAACATGATTGTTGTAGCCAACGAAACTCACTGTTGTCTTGCCAGTCTTCTTTAATTTCCATCAACATAATAGTCTTTCAACCAGTGCTAATGGTTTGTTTGCTTCATTTCATAATGTAGTCAGAAGTGAATATTTTAGGAAGGCTTTCACATCCTAACTTGGTGAAACTTTTGGGATATTGTTGGGAGTACACAGAACGCCTACTTGTGTACGAATTTATGCAGAAAGGAAGCTTGGCTGACCATCTATTCAGAGGTAAGAAGGGTGGAAAATTTGCAAAAAAAATTAATTGTTTTTACATGAAAAAGTACATTGATTTATGGGTTGATTGGTTTTGTAGAGAATCCCGCCATTGAACCTCTTTCATGGGATATACGGCTCAAAATAGCCATAGGTGCAGCACGGGGCCTCGCTTTCTTGCACACTTCGGAGAAGCAAATTATTCACAGAAATTTTAAGGCCTCTAATATACTACTAGATGTGGTGAGATTTTATATATGCCTCGTTATATATAGGAAAAAGTTTGTTTTTTTTTTTCCATTTGAACTTATGAAGCATTAAGAAGTAAGAATTAGAAGCAGCGACAATTGATTATAAGTAAGAAGAAGATAATGGATAAAAGCAACTCGGAATCCATTTCCCCCCTTTATGAAAAAAATCAGTTTGGGCATGATCCTTAGCTTGATTGTTAGGTAGCAAAGAAAAGAAAACTTGGAATTGTACATTTTGTGAGGTTAGGGTGTCAATTAGTCTTACCACATTTTGTCCTTTCGTCATTCGCTATGCAGTATAAAGAATCAACGAAAGTAAGTTATGGATATGTGAAATTAATTCTAGAAAATTATTCGAAGTGACTAACAAATTAATTCTAGTAAATTGTTAGTCAAAGATTTTAGAATTCTCAAAAACCAAGGGAAGTGACTATGAGCACTGAAGACAGCATTTATCTAACTTGCTACGCAAATAACTGCATAACATGATATACAAACATCACAGTCACGTAGAGAAATATCTTGTCTAATAATATTGACAGTTCTCCCACTTTTAAATTAGTATGGATTTGCATATATATGCAAGATTCTGATTGTTGGGGTTTTCTCTTTTCTATTTGCTATTTTTTTTTTTGTTGCAGAATTACAATCCAAAAATATCAAATTTTAGCTTAGCACAATTGGGTCCCTCAGGTGGAAACTCTCACGTGACAACCCAAGTTGTAGGCACATATGGTTATGCTGCTCCTGAATATGTTGCAACAGGTGAGCTTGCACCCTTAGCTATCTAGTGCAGGAGATGCAGGAATTCAGCTTTTCATTTTTGTGATTGGGTGGGTACCTTAAAAAATGGAAATAAAGCAAAGAAAATGAAGTTCTGAGATGAGTTTTGAAATAGACGGAACAAATAAAGCATCCAAATGGGCTATTCAACTTCAGTGTATAACAATGGCAGTCATTCTTAAAAATTTCCCTTCCCCTCCCTGCTCACACACTTTTCATATAGTCGATGAAGTGCAACGGATCACATCTCTATCCATTTTCAACAGGTCATCTTTATGTGAAGAGCGATGTGTATAGCTTCGGTGTTGTGCTGCTTGAGATTTTATCACTTTTACGGGTACTTGATCTCAGCCGCCCCAGCGGCCAACATAATTTGATTGATTGGGCAAGGCCTCTTCTCTCTCACAGAAGGAAGTGGGAGACCATTATGGATGCGCGAATTGAAGGCCAATATTCTTCTCAGGCAGCGTTACAGGCCGCTAACCTCTCCCTAAGATGTCTCGAACATGACCCTAGAAAGCGCCCCTCCATGAAAGAAGTTGTGGAGGTGTTGGAACAGATCGAAACCATGAAGAAGGAGCCATAAGAATCACAACATGGTTCCTTGCATTCTACAGCTCATTGTCATCGAACTAGTCATCATCATTCCCCCCTACACCCTAGCCACCATGGAATTTGAGTCAAAGCTCAAAGATAATAGCGCTCACATGAATAAGGTAAAACTATAAATATTGGTTTCGATGTGAATGTTCTCACAAAAGTTGCGTACCTAATTTTAGTGATTGTTTTTTTTTTAACAAAAAAAAATCTCATTGAAAATATGTCTATGTAGAATAAAGGTGCGGATGATATATCTTTACCATATCCCTGTTTGAAAATGGTGTGATAGTAATAACAAAAAGCATGCGTGTCCTACTATTTATCAAATCAATTGTACTTTTGGCAATATTACTTTTCATGATAACATTAATAATTTTAATTCAAATCTCAATCCACTCAATTGAATTTCACTCCGTACGTGAGTTTTAGTTCAATAACTCCATGTACGTAGAATTATTTGTAATGATTATTGTGAACTCGAATTAATAATCCTATCAAAAAAATGAAAAAAAAAAAAAAAAACGTTGCCAAACATAAAAAATGTGGGTCCTTGATATTATTTTACCTAAATTCAGGAAATATCCCTGGGATCCAGTAAGCCAACCACTTCAAGGGATCGCCATGATATTATTAAAATATTAAGGGATTGGTATATAATTTAACTAAATGTCATGAATATGTGAGAAATTTAAAAAATTCATGTCCTTGCCTCCGTGCCTAGTGGCACTACGTTTTATCGTCGTGCAATACCATCATCTAATAAAGAGTGTTTATGCACAGAAAATGATTTTACTGCCCCTCTTCTCCTTTGCACGTGATAACAAAATCAAACGGACGACAAACGAAAAAATAACGATAGACTGTATTGTAATATTTTAATATCTTTTAGGGATAATATGAAAAAATTAATTATTTTGGGGTAAAGTGAAAAAATTTGTTTATTTCAGGGGACAAAATGGGATTTTCCCTTATAAATATGACAAAGTCTGTCGGAGAAAAAAAAAACACTTGAAATTGGGAGGGCGATCCTCCTGATAAACTGACCGTAACCCACACCGACGAGTGAACAAGGAAAGATGGTAGTAATTCTTGTTCAAGCTCAAAAAGTCCAACAGGAAAATTCTTCCCAATTTCTTCCATTATCTCTCTCTCTCTCTCTCTCCTCTTATTTTATGGCCTCTGAAACAGAGAGATTTTGAAACCATTCATGGAAAAGTAGTAACAGAAAAAGAGATTGGTAATGGGGAATTGCTTTGTGTCTAAGATGGGTAATTCTAACCCAAGCATCAGTGACCGCAGCATCACCACTGGACCTTCCACTGCAGGTATTGCTTTTTAATCCAAATATTTCTACAGAAATACTCATTTCCTTGTCTGGGTCTTCATTCTTTCATGTATTTCCTTGATTCTATCTGATAATAGCTAGAAATCAAACTCCTTTATCCATTATTTGGCCGTGCTAATTAATTCCCCATTATATGTTTGTTTTCTATTTTTGTGAAATCGTGATTTGGGTTCTTTTTATTTTCTTAATTTGTAACCCCTCTTCTGTTGTATATTTTCCAATACCATTAAAATAAAACGTTAGCTCTTGTTTTATTTACTTAAAACGGTATAAACCCGTTTCCAATATTGGTGTTTTTTTCAAACTTGAGTGCTAAATCTAGACAACTTTGTTATATATATCAGGGACGTCGAACAATTATAACAACGGTGGGGGATATTCGGCGACAAGCAGCAGCGAGGGGACATGTTGTGATGGGGAAATATGGCCCACACCGACCTTGAAGATCTATAGCTTTGCGGATTTGAAGAGGTCCACGGCAAATTTCAAGCCTGATTCAGTGTTGGGAAAAGGGTATTTTGGGACAGTGTTCAAGGGATGGGTTGATAAGAAGACGCTTGTGCCTTGTAAATTTGGCACTGGAATGATTGTTGCTATCAAGAAATTTGACTTGGAAAGTCTGCAAACGTATACAGAATGGGAGGTAATTTCAACTTTGTTGTTTCTTTTCATGTGACAAAATGGCTTAGGATTCATGGTTGATATTCATTCCAGTAGTGTTGGAATAAAAAGCAACCTTTAGGCTTCACTTAACAGCAACAGGTATGAGATAACGAATTTTTCGGTCTGAAAGACAGGAAACATTTCTCAAAGATTTTGAAATACAACGAAGACAGAAAAAAATTGATTATTTTTTTTTTACCAAAACATCTGTCAGAAAAGACTACTTCGAAACATAGGAATTTTAATATTTAATTACTAATTGTTTTAATGTTTTGGCCATTTTAAAATGAATTTTTGATCCTTCTTGTTGGTGACAACTGAATTGACGGTCTTATTCCTTAAGATGGATTAGAACCTAGAGCTATGGTCAATGTCACCTGCTGCTAATGAATGGAGAGGGTGAGACTATCAAAAAGAAATCATTGTTCTATTTTCTGAAAGAACGCAGTGGGAGAGAGAGAATGTTATTTTTCACCAAATTACCCATGCTGTAAAAATTGAACCTAGTTCTAATGGCTAATAAAAAGTCAAGAGGAACTTATTGTACCTATCTTCCCCTCCCTTGAACCCCAAATTTTATCTTTATGATTTTTGCAAGTCTGTCTAAATAAAGGGTTTTAGTGCCTAGAGATTGAATGGTACAATGTATATGAGCATACCTTTGTAATGGTGGAGAGCCTCACTAGGGTTGACATCACTATATTGCAAAAGCAATTCTACATAAAAAAAGGCGGTGCACGAATCTCCTACCATTGTGGAGTCTAAGAAAGGTAATCCAACATCTACACCCTTTTTATTAACAAGGATCAGCAACATGATTGTTGTAGCCAACGAAACTCACTGCTGTCTTGCCAGTCTTCTTTAATTTCCATCAACATAATAGTCTTTCAACCAATGCTAATGGTTTGTTTGCTTCATTTCATAATGTAGTCAGAAGTGAATTTATTAGGAAGGCTTTCACATCCTAACTTGGTCAAGCTGTTGGGATATTGTTGGGGGGACAAAGAAGTCCTACTTGTGTACGAATATATGCAGAAAGGAAGCTTGGCTGACCATCTATTCAGAGGTAAGAAGGGTGGAAAATTTGCAAAAAAATTTAATTGCTTTTCCATGAAAAAGTACATTGATTTATGGGTTGATTGGTTTTGTAGAGAATCCCGCCATTGAACCTCTTTCATGGGATATACGGCTCAAAATAGTCATAGGTGCAGCCCGGGGCCTTGCTTTCTTGCACACTTCGGAAAAGAAAATTATTCACAGAGATTTTAAGGCCTATAATATACTACTAGATGTGGTGAGATTTTACATATGCCTCATTATATATAGGAAGAAGTTTGTTTTTTTTTTCCATGTGAACTTAAGAAGCATTAAGAAGTAAGAATTAGAAGCAGCAACAATTGATTATAAGTAAGAAGAAGATAATGGATAAAAGCAACTTGTAACCCATTTCCAAAGAAAAGAAAACTTGGAATTGTACATTTTGTGAGGTTAGGGTATCAATTAGTCTTACCACATTTTGTCCTTTCGTCATTCGCTATGCAGTATAAAGAATCAACGAAAGTAAGTTATGGACATGTGAAATTAATTCTAGAAAATTGTTAGTCAAAGATTTTAGAATTCTCAAAAACCGAGGGAAGTGATTATGAGCACTGAAGACATAGCATTTATCTAACTTGCTATGCAAATAACTGCATAACATGATATACCAACATCCCAGTCACGTAGAGAAATATCTTGTATAATAATATTGACAATTCTCCCATTTTTTACTGAACAAATATGGCTGGTTAAATTAGTATGGAATTGCATATATATTCAAGATTCTGATTGTTGGGGTTTTCTCTTTTCTATTTTCTATTTTTTTTTTGTTGCAGAATTACAATCCAAAAATATCAAATTTTTGCTTAGCAAAATTGGGTCCCTCAGGTGGAAACTCTCATGTGACAACCCAAATTATCGGCACATATGGTTATATTGCTCCTGAATATGCTGCAACAGGTGAGCTTTTATTTGAAGTTCATCTTACATTTGTCTGAATCGAAGAAATAAAAATAGAACTCCTTGTTCCTTGGATATTGAGGCAATCGTCCCCTAGAAGTGATTCACAAAAGGCACCCTTAGCTATCTAGTGCAAGAGATGATTTGGTGGGTACCTTCAAAAATGGAAATAAAGCAATGAAAATGAAATTGGTTTATGAGATGAGTTTTGAAATAGACGAACAAATAAAATATCCAAATAGGCTATTCAACTTCAGTATATAACAATGGCAGTCATTCTTAAAAACTTCCCTTGCCCCGCTCTCACACTTCCTTTCATATAGTCGATGAAGTGCAACAGATCACATCTCAATCTATTCTCAACAGGTCATCTTTATGTGAAGAGCGATGTGTATAGCTTCGGTGTTGTGCTGCTTGAGATTTTATCAGGTTTACGAGCACATGGATATGGCCAACGAAATTTGATTGATTGGGCGAGACCTCATCTCTCTCACAGAAGGAAGTGGAAGACCATTATGGATGCGCGGATTAAAGGCCAATATTCTTCTGAGGCAGCTTTACAGGCCACTAACCTTTGCCTAAGATGTCTGGAATATGAGCCTAGAAAGCGCCCCTCCATGAAAGAAGTTGTGGAGGAGTTGGAACAGATCGAAACCATGAAGAAGGAGCCATAAGAATCCCAACATGGTTCCTTGCATTCTACAGCTCATTGTCATCAAACTAGTCATCATCATTCCCCGCTACACCCAAGCTACCATGGCATTAGAGTCGAAGCTCAAAGATAATAGCACACGCATGAATAAGGTAAAATTATAAATATTGGTTTCGATGTGAATGTTCTCGCAAACATTGTGAACCATAATTCTAGTGGTTGTGTTTTTTTAACAAAGG